GAGCCCAAACCGGGGCACCCACAAGTAGTTGTCTAGGTGCCCTAGGATGTGAGGTAGATGAAGGCAGTCTGTCCGGATGCAACCGGTCAAGTCTAGTAGTAAGTTGGCGCCCCCAACGAAGTTCAGCTGGACTTCTCCCTGTAGAAGTGGACGGTGTGGTGCGATAAGAAAGGAGAAAGTCAGCCAACCTGTGATGCCAGTCCCCGTAGGTGAGTCTCTTCAAGGCGTCCTTTGCGATGCGCACCATGCGTTCAGCCATACCGTTGGTGGACGGGTGAAAAGGCGCAGACGTGGCATGACGAATCAGGTTTGCCTGTAAGAAAGCTTGGAATTCGGAGGAGGTGAATTGAGGGCCGTTGTCGGACACAATGACATCTGGCAGCCCGTGTGCAGCAAAAATCCCCCTCAGTACCTGAATAGTCTTTGCAGTGGTGGTGGATGAGACAGGCACAACCTCAAGCCATTTTGAATGGCTGTCAACAAGGACCAAGAAGAACTGGCCCTGAAAGGGCCCAGCGTAGTCAATGTGCACCCTAGACCATGGGGACTGTGTTTCCTCCCATCTATGCACAGGAGCTTGGGGCATCTCTGGGCGAGATCGTTGGCACAGGTGGCATGCATGCACCTTAGCCTCAATATCTTTATCTAAACCAGGCCACCACAAGTGGCTGCGTGCAAGAGCCTTCATACGAACAATGCCAGGATGACCCTCGTGGAGGGATTCTAAGACCCTAGTCCTCATTGAGGTGGGAATGACAACTCTGTTTCCCCAAAGCAGACAACCCTGAGAAAGGGACAGTTCGTTTCTTTTGGACCAGAAACTCTGAAACTCAGGACTAGGGCAGTGCTCAGGCCACCCGGACAGGACCCAGGAGCGGACACGTGAAAGTGTGTGATCTGTACCTGTTTCAGCGGTAACATCCCTGGCACTAAGAGGGAGCTCGGGCAAGGCTTGGATTGATAGAATGTTGACAGCTGGCGCGGGGTCAGCTTCTACTACTGGCAGAGGCAATCTACTGAGGCCATCAGCATGGCCCATTTCTTTCCCAGGCTTGTGGAGTAATGAAAAATCATATGCAGACAAGAAAATAGACCACCTAAGCATTCTAGGGGAAATGATGTGGGGAGTCTGCTTACGTGTGGTAAACAGTCCCAGCAGAGGCTTATGGTCAGTGAAGACCGTGAAATGCCTGCCATATAGAAAATCGTGGAATTTTTTAATTCCAGCAACAACAGCCAGAGCCTCCCTGTCTATCTGAGCGTAGTTGCGCTCGGCAGAAGACAGTGTTCTGGAGTAGTATGCAATAGGAACCTGAGTTCCATCAGACCTGAGGTGACTCAGGACAGCTCCAACCCCGTAGGGGGACGCATCACAAGCGATGCACACAGGGAGAGACTCGTTGAAATGTGCAAGAACACTGTTAGAAGTGAGCAAGGCCTTGACTTCTTTAAAGCAAGCCTCATGCGCTTGTGACCACAGCCACACAGCCTGTTTGTCTAGTAGCCTGTGAAGAGGCTCAGCTACACTAGCTTTATGTGGAAGAAAAGAATTGTAGAAATTCAGGAGGCCTAGAAAGGCCTGAAGTTCGGCCTTAGACTTTGGCCTGGGTGCATCTAAAATAGCAGTTAGTTTGGATTCAGCAGGATGAATCCCAGCAGCATCAATTTTGAATCCCAGAAATTCAGTAGAAGGCACCCCAATCTGGCATTTGTCTTTTCTGAGCTTGAGGCCTGATTTCCTGAATCTTAACAGGACAGCCCTAAGCCTTTCAGCTAGAATGTGTGTGGAGTCTCCTGCAATCAAGACATCGTCAAAGTAGGGGCAGACCCCTGGTATACCTCGTAGTGTGTTTTCCATAACGCTTTGGAAAATCCCAGGAGCGACATTCACTCCAAACTGTAGCCTTTTTACTTTAAAGGCTCCCCTGTGGGTCACAATGGTCTGAGCTATGGCAGCATCATCATCAACAGGCAGCTGTTGATATGCTTGAGCTAGGTCAAGCTTTGCAAAAACACGCCCCCCCTTGAGAGAGGCCAGGATGTGACTGACCACAGGAACAGGATAGGCATGTTGCTGCAATGCCTTATTGAGTGTGCATTTGTAATCAGCACAAATGCGAATGTCCCCATTTGCCTTTAGAGGCGTGACAATGGGGGTCTCCCACGGGCTGGAATCAACAGGTTCTAGGATTCCCTGTTGGATTAGTTTGTCTAGTTCAGTGTCAATCTTACTTTTTAAAGCAAAAGGGACCCTTCTTGCTTTAATCCTAATGGGAGTGACAGTGGGGTCTAGCTTTAAGGACACAGGTGGTCCTTTGAATGTGCCCAGCTGGGGCTGAAAACATCTGCAAATTCTGTGCAGACTTCCTGTAGGTCGAGTGTTTGTAAGCTATTGAGTCCTGTGACGTGTATCCCCAGGGCCTCAAACCAATCGAGTCCTATGAGACTCGTTCGTTCACCCCCTACTACTAATAAGTCTAGTGGACCTTCAAAACTCTTGTATTGCACGTTAAGGGTGGCCTCCCCCTTAACACACACTCTTGAGTTCTGAAAATCTGTTAATACAATATCAGAAGGCCTTAACTTGGCCTTAGACCCACTTCTGGAACAAATCTTCCTAAATGTATGCAATGAAATGATGGACAGGGCAGACCCTGTGTCTAGTTCCATAGATAATGGAACCCCTTGTAGCTTCACGTTGAGTGACAGCTTTTTCTTCATGGGCTTGTGTGTGCCTGTTCTACAGATGCTTCTTCGCGAAGCGCAAAAACCTACCCTATTCTGGCTGGGGAATCTGGTACCCTTCAGGCGTTCTTCTTGGGGTTGTGCCTTTCGTCGGCCCAGGCACACAGCTGCAATGTGCCCTTGTTTACCGCATGCCCGGCAGGTAGCGGAGCGGAACTTGCAGTCGGTTCTCCTGTGGCGACCTCCACAGCCGATGCACTTGAGCGGAGCCGAAGAGCTTCCCTTCTGGTTCTCTTCCTTCGCGGGGTGTAGACGGTCGACTTCCTCGTCCGGATCCTCCTCGGAGTTTCGTCGGACGTCTTCCTGGTGCACGGACGCACCCTCTGCACTGTTTCTGATCGGCCGCATGTTTTTGACGGCGCCGCCTGCTGCTTCTTCTGCGGTGACTTCCCTTAAGGCGTCTTGGAAGGATAATTCTTCCTTTGCGAAAAGTCTCTGTTGTAGCTCGCGATGCCTTAACCCGCACACGAATCGGTCCCTCAGTCGTTCCTCGAGGTCCTTGAACTCGCAGGGCTTGGCGGCCTTCCGTAACGCGGCGATGTATTCCTTGGCTGACTCACCGGACCGTTGATCCCTTTGTTCGAAGGTGTGGCGCCATGAGATAACGGACACCTTGGGATGGAAATGCTCCTTCAGCAGCTTCTTCAGGTCTGCGTAGCTTACAGACTCTACTGGGACAGGTGCTGCAAGGTTTTCTGCGATTTCGAAGGCGTCTTGGCCGCAAACGCAAAGCAGGGTGGCCGCCTTCAAGCTATCTTCCCTCACTTGGTTTGCCTTGAAGTAGTTCTCCATTCTGGATACGTAGGACTCCCACCGCTCTGGATGTGAGACGTCGAATTCCGAAAGCCTTCCGATTTTCGCCATCTTCGGATCTTCAGGAGACGGGTCTATCAGCCAGCCTACCCCCGAATGCGCACCGGATTGGCGGGCAGCTGCCGAGTCGACGCCGTTCCTCTTTCGCCGCTCAGGACTCCTTGGGTAAGCTTACACTTCTTCCTTTCCAGGTAGTGCAAGGCATCCCACCTCGTCGCCAGTGTTGAGTCCGTGGCGGGAAAACAGACACGAGAAGCAGCTGGAGTTCTCAGTTTCATTTATTCAGCGTTCAGCTTACAGGAAGATGGCTTCAGCCTCGCCCAAACGCCTCGCAGCCTCTTATATAGGCAACTCCCGGGTAAATGGGTTACTTTTCCCGCGCCAGCACCCGCGCATGCGCACGGCGCTGGCGACAGCCTGTCTGGTCCCGGGCAGCTTTGCACCTGCCCGGGACTGCCTGCAAACGCCCGAGCCGTTTGCAAGGCTCTGGACATAACAGAGATCAAATGTAGAGAAAAGCAAAGTTTACTTTTAGGCAGAAAAAAATCAAAGGTATAAGTATAGATTGGGTGAGACCTGGCTTAAAAACAGTAACTGTGAGAGGGACCTTGGAGGCCTAGTGGACGATCACTTAACCATGAGCCAGCAGTGTACAACAGCAGCCAAAAAAGATGATATAATCCTGGGTTGTATAAACAGAGGCATAGAATCAAGATCATGCAAAGTATAAGTACCGTTTTAAAAAACCCTAGTAAGACACACCTGGAATACTGCAGCCAATTTTGGTCACCATATCACAAAAAAGATGTTGAAAGTTTGGAAAAAAAATCAGAGAAGAGCAACTAAGATGATCAAAGGCCTGGAGACTAAAATATGAAGAATGGCTGCAATACTTGGGTTTACTAGTCTAAAGAAAAGAAGAAAGACATGATAGCAATATTCCAGTATCTGAGGGGCTGCCACAAGGAAGAGGGGGACACTTTGTTCACCAGAGCACCAGAGGGAAGGATGAGAAACAATGGTTGGAAACTGATCAAAAGAGAGAAGCAATCTGGAATTAAGGAGAAACTTCCTGACAGTGAGGACAATCAACCAGTGGAACACCTTGCCTCCAGAAATTGTGGGTGCTCCATCACTGGAGATTTTTAAGAAGAGACTAGACAATTATCTTTCTGAGATGGTGTAGGTTCTCTTGCTTGAGCAGGAGGCTGGACTAGAAGACCTCCAAGGTCCCTTCCAGCTCTATTCTATTATATTTATGATATATGACATCATTTTGTTGTTTGTATGTACACTGATAGCTGTGCACCAGAGACAAATTCCTTCTGTGTTCCAATCACACTTGGCCAATAAAGAATATTCTGATTCCAGTTCCAAATGACAGTTGATGACAGTTGATCTGAGGGAGAAAGAGGGAGGGAAATCAGTTCAAAAGTCAGAATATTGTGACTGAGGACAAGGTTGCAGACAGAACCAGAGTCCAGTTTTTTGAAAGAGACGAGAACAAAACTACAAAGAACCAGGGTCCAACTTTTTACCAAAACTAAACAAAACCTGCAGGCGATGGCAGAACGTAAGTCCATAAGAAAAAAAATGAAATATTGTATAAAAGAATGAATGAAACAAAATGAATGAACAAGTACAGAAGTCAGTCACATAAGCCAAGTGCACAGGGTACCCTCTATTTGAAAGCTGACCCCCCCAAGTAACCTTGATTAATAGAAGTTAACCCTGAATCAATGCTATAGGGTTGGATCTCCTCTCTGAAAAGGATGGACTCAATGTTTTTAAAGTTGAAAATACTTAGAAAGGATGTAATCAAAGTATGAAGTGTGTATGTGTCTGCGTATTTGTGCACGTGCATCTATTTGTATATAAAAAATTACTATATAGAAATGCCGGTAATGGTGGACCTCATGTACCAACACTTTTATTTAGCTACCATTTGAAGTTATGATGTTACTGAAAAGTAACTTTATGACCAGTGGTCACATTTATGCCAACACAGTATGTCTGCTGCTGTTGAAGGAAAAGTCTTTATCATGGTTCAGTCCAAGCCGGGTATAAAAAACATGGCAACTGCTTTAGAACAGTGGTTCTCAACCTGTGGGTCGGGACCCCATTTGGGGTCGAATGACCATTTCACGGGGGTCGCCAAACAAGGCTGTCCGCCATTTTCCCCCCCTTTTCTTTGGCCACGCCCCTGGCACCCGGTGATGTATAAGTGGTTGAGGGTCACCACAACATGGGGAACTGTATTATGAGGTCGCGGCATTAGAAAGGTTGAGAACCACTGCTTTAGAAAGAAGTTTGCAGTTTGTTGAAGAGGAGAGCCAGACGAAAGATGGCTCTGGAAAAAGAGAGAGAAAGAGCACATGTAAGGTGTGGGTTTTTATACTCTCTGGACCCTTTTGTTTGGAGTTGTTTCCTGTTCCTGTTTGAGGCTTTGTATTTCCTGTGTCATGTATTCTGACCTGAGTCTAGGTGTGCCCTTTGGGATTTGTGAGTTAATCCTATTATATCCTGTCTTAGACTTTGGATGGGATATGCAGAAGGTTCCATCTAAAAAAGGTGCCGGAACTCTGTACTGGGTGTTCTATGAGAAAAAAAATCCCTGATAATAAATAATTCTGTGCATTTCTGAACAACAACAATAATTTTGGCAAGGTAAACACATCACGGTGCATCATGGTTCATTTGTACAGAGCTGCATTCACAGTTCCGTACAAATGTGAATCCGGTTTATGATAGAACCGTCCCTCCCCGCCTTCGAGATGTGTGGACTCCAACCCCCAGAATGCCTAACTACTATAGCTACTAATAATAACCCTGGGAGTTGTAGTCTTATCGGCTGGTTACCAACGTCGGGATACGCTCAGTGTTCTGTTCAAAGCAAGAATCGGTCGTTATGCAATAAAGTGCGTGGCTTAGCAAGATACAGCCACAGCAGCTGATCCAAACGTAAAGAAGCCGTGTTTTACACAAGCACCGGCTGAATTCCCTCCACACAGGAACTCCAACGGTGGCAGAACTCAGGCAAGCGCAAGGTGAGGGTTCCTCTAGAGGTCAATTCTCTCTTCTCCCTTCGCGTTTCTTCTTCCAGGAATCTTGTGCCCTCCTCCCTGAGAATTTCTCGCAACCTACCGAAGGCTTGCAATCCCTCGTCCCGCCCTGCCTGCGCTTTACTATTGGTCGCCTGTCCCGCCTGTAAAAATTGCCGACGTACCGCTTTCTCAAAGGGGAAGGCGGGGCCAAAGCGGCTTGGCTTAGCGCTGTCTGCGGCGGCTGGAAGGAAGAGTTCGCTGCTGCAGCCAGAACTGTGCGCAGGGGCAGAGGGAGCTGCGGGACCTCGCCTCGCATCTCTCGGGCGGCGTGCATGCTTTTTCCCTCTCTCCCACGACACAGGCAAGAACCAGATCGTGTGCAAGGTCAAGATCCAAAGCGTCAGCGTCCGCGCCACGCACAGCCCCGCAGCCCAGGGCGCCGTCCAGCAGCAGCAGCAGCAGCAGCCGGAGACGTCGCCACCGCCGCCTTCTCCTCCTGCTCCTCCGCGGAAATCGGCGCCCTCGCCCACCCTCGAAATCTCCAAAACTATGTCGAGCAAGAAGCTGTTCGAGGACCTCTCGGGCAGAGGCAAAGCCATCGGAGTCCTGACCAGCGGCGGCGATGCTCAGGGTAACGAGCAACCAGGCGAAAGGCTGGTGGGGGGCGTTGGGGATCGGGGCCAAAGGTAGGGAATTCGCGGATGCCGTGCGGTCGGGATGCTGGCGTTTGCAGGCTATGCAGACCTGATGATCCGACGGGGTGGGAGCGGGTTGCTAGGGAAACTCTGGCTCCCATCACTCCTGGCTTATCAGGGTTGGGCAGGGGGCTGCCGAGATGGGAGCGGGGGGAGATAAAGACGGCGCTGGCAGGACGCACTGAGTCATGGCTAATCCAGCCTCGGTTTGCTCTCTGGATGCTAAGGGTTCTGGGGCTGCGCACAGGCCTCCCCGTCTGTTCCACACCAACGCGATCGTGGCACGCGGAGTAAGGGATGCCGGGGCTGCTGCTTCTCGGCTGCTCTCCGCAACAGGCGGCCAGAGGGAAGTGGAAAGCCACAGCGCATAGATGGACCGCGAGACGCAAACGTGCTGGGCAGCAGAGCGCTTCCTCGCCCTTGTCCTGAAGGAGTCCCTTTGCCCTTGTCCTGGGGGATGGGAGAGACTTGCTTGAGGGGCTGGGGGTGATGATGTCAAATAGCCCGTCGGGTTTCTGCACAGCTGATATCGGAGAAAAAATTGGCCGGACCTAATAGCCCCTCGCCTTTATCTTCGTTTTATGACACCCTTTTTGAAAAAAAGATGATGAGCGCCCGCAGGCCTTCAGGATGCGGGTCCTACTGTAAACCACTTGGGCTGATCACGTCCTCAAGGAGGAATGCTTTGTCACTAACGGGCTTTGGGCTAGAGAGTTTTCACGTAGACCGTCTTTTAAAAAAAAAAAAAAAACCACACGCAACCCTGAAATAATTCGAATTAGTGCCTGAATGCAGTTTTGCGTTAAAAGGCTTCAGCCTCCTATCCTATACAGGATGAATCAAGATGGATAATTGGAAGGCTCAGAAATCATGTCCTGAAGTTCCACACGTGTCTAGTGTAGAAGACGCGTTCTGTCTTTCGGTTCTGTACTTCCTCTGGGAATTGTGCTTGGCTATTTTCGGCTGGCCTGAATTTTAAAACAAATTTGCCAGTTCCCACCGAGCCATCCTTTCATATGCTACGCTACTATGCGGAAATCGTGCTGGTCTATTCCCACGTGTGAAATTAGCGTCACGTAGGGGAGGCCTATTTAGACGCGCCCCTTCGGATACGCCGGTTTAAAGGCTGGCAGCGTCGACATCCGCTTTAGCCTTCGGTTATTTGGTTTAATGATGGCGCATGGAAAGAAGCTAGATGGGACGCGAATACGGGAAAGCGGGTTAGCGGTTCATGTCTGCGGGATGGGGAGTGGGTGCCCGAAGGACCACCGATCCCTCCCTTCATCTGGTTTAACCGGCGAAGAGGAAAGAAATCGCCAACGATGGTTGCGCACGTGTGCGCTGCTTTGAGGAAGCGACAGGGTGTGGAGACAGTATCAACAATTCTCTCCGAAGCGATCAAATTGCCGGGATCCAAGAGGATTCCGAAACAGCAAGTCGCCGCCCTGGGCATCGTGCCCAGGTGCGAAGACTGAGCGCGTCCTTGCTTGCCGCTGAGGGAGGGCGCTCGTGGGCTCCGGCCATGTAGGCGGAGGCCGCCGAGTGTGGTGCTGTGACGTCACGGTTTAGCTGCGGGCTAGGTCTGTTTTCCTACGCTTTTCTTTTAGCTTTGATTTTTTTTTTTCTTGAGCGGTTTGGTTTGGCGTTGAGAACGGGCAAGTAACGAGAAGGGGTGAATATCTCTGATAAGAATCCAAGTTTTATTCTGAGGCTGTGTTTAAATCGGATGCTCTTCCCTGCCTTTGGTAGTTTTGCTCTTACTCTGCACGAAGAAAACCATTTATCTGGGGGCACCCCAGGCATCATTGTTAGGGTAGAAGCAGATGAGGTTTACAACATCTTCCACACTTAATTCTCCAATTCTGATGTGGCAACTATGAGAAAGGAGTTTGGCTGGAGCTAATTTCTGAATCGCAGTTTAGGATGCAGGAGGTTGCAGGGGCAAATACTGGGCTTAGTCCTTGCTCTGTGCAAAAAAAAAAAAAAAATCTCTATAAAATGTTTAATTTTCTTCAGGAAGTCGTTCATCCAGAGAGTGAACCTTGGCACAGTTCTGCTGCATAGCTGCCTGGTCTTGAATAAGCAAGGCCAAACAGTTCTGTGTCTGTGAGAAAAATGAAAACAATTTTTTTGGGGGGGGGGAGACACTGTTACATTCAGACAACCCAACTTCCTTCTAGGACACTCAGCTTGCCTAAGCAACCTTTTGAAAATGGCTGCATTTACTTTCTAACCATGAGTCAGAAAAGGAGGCAAAAAGAAACTTTGCATTAGTTATGCTTGCAGAGCTGAAAGTTGGACTTCAGCCTGCTTTATTCCCTTGGTGGGCGGGGAGAGAAAACGCTCTCAATCCCTTTTAAAGACTTTGAAGGTTGCTTCTGTCTGGAAGGCCATCAGAAGTACTCTTCTGGATAAAAGACACATAGGGAGAGGGCATCCTGGTTGATTATTCTCTACAGAAGCCAGCCCTGGGAAAATATAACTGTTTTCTATTAATATTCCACAAGGAATGTGTGTCTACAAGGCTCGCTTTTTGAATCCCAGCTTCAAAGGTCACAGAGACAAGGTGGTGCCCAAAGAGATTCTGAAGTGTGGAAATGTCTGAGTGAAGGTTCAAAAAAAAAAAAAAAAAAAATGACTGAAGGGAAATTGTGTGAAGCTGCTTAGCTGAACCACCAGATTTCCTTTTCTGGACATTGGCCAACTGCACCATTTGGGAGGGTGGGAGAAATGCTTCAACTTTGTTTCACTTTCTTTCCCCCCAAGATTGTTTGCAACTAAGGAAAGCCTTCCTTGTTTGCCGTTGTTTGTTCCACAAATTTACAATTTTAATTGGAAAGCAAAGTTTTAAATAAATTAAAATGAAAAGAAATGCATGATTTTTGGCTGCAGCCAATAGTTTTTGGGCTCATTGCAGCCTCTGATTGATATATCCGTGTGCATGCATACATTCATGTGGATGCACATGTACATAATCCCTACTGAATTTGGGAATAGCTCTCCATAAGCTTAGACTTTGTTCATACATGCTTTTAAATGTAAACCTGGGTTAGAAGAACATAACTGCTGTATTGATGTAACGAACTATGCTCAGATGATATCAGTAATATCAGATTTATTCACTGAGACCAAAACAAATCCAGGCTGGTTTAGTCTGTCATGCATGATTAGCGTCCTGATAGATTGTAGTCTTAGCCAAGTGTCCTCTAAAACAGGTCCCCAACCCCTAGTCTGTGGACTGGTACTGGGCCACGGCATACCAGCAACTGGGCCGCACAAAGAAGCAAAGCCCCATCTGTGGGATGCAGGCACACACAAAACCACGCCCCCTCTGGTTTGTGGAAAAACCTTTCTCCACGGGACCGGTCCCTGGTGCCCAAAAGGTTGGGGGTCTCTGCTCTAAAATGTTGTTCAGGTAATGGAACCTAGTTAGGATAGCCATTACATAACTGCCTCAAGTAACAACCAGCCATCTCTGTTCTTCCCAGTGCATTCATTGAATCAGTGGTTCTCAACCTTTTTAATGCTGCGACCCCCAACCGGTCGTAAGTCGAGGACTACTCAACTGGTGCAGCACCGTTTGCAGAATGGGACTTTTGGCGGGCTCAGCAGGGCAGAGACAGCCTGGACAATTCCTATTGGCTTTTGAAAGCCAATAGAATTAGACTCTATTCAAGAGAGTCTATTCTATTGGCTTTCAAAAGCCAATAGAATAAAAGGGAGTAGCACAGCTAAGGAAAAGGGGGGAAAAAGGGCGGACTGCGTTGTTTGGCGACCCCCATGAAATGGTCGTTCGACCCCAAATGGGGTCCCGACCCACAGGTTGAGAATCACTGCATTAAATGAATGTACAGGTCATTAAGTGGATCATGGGGTGTCTCAGATGGGAGAAATCCTGGGAGGCCTAGTGCAGGCTTGCCTCAGGCCTCTGAAAGCTCCATCTCCCCGAATTATACCATGGCCCGCTTCCTGCCCCTTGGGGTGCTGAGCCCACACATCAGATCTTTCAGCTTAAGTCTCCCCTGCTTGGCTCCCATAAGCCACTATTATTTTCCAAGCCAGTGATTCTACAATCATGCTGTGCAGGCATAAACAGTTTTATTACTGGCTTGTATGGGTCCCTGGGTTGAAGCAGTTTACCATTGCACTCAGAAAAAGATGGCTGCTTGTGGGATTGTGCCGTGTGGCTCAGCAACGGAGCGGTCTGTCCTTCTTCCCTACCCCAACTTCCTGAGGTCTGGAGACCCTCGAAAGGTAAGTGAATGACAGGTGGACAAGATAGGGAGAAACACATGGAACACGGTGGATTGGCAAAGGAGGTCCAGGGCCTGCAGGGACCAAGTGGGGCAGGATGGATGGGGGAAATAGGCAGGTGGGCACTGCAGCATTTGTGGCCAGTCATAAGTGTGAATGACCACAGGAGGTGCCGCAGTGGTCTTAACTTTGAAACCAGGTCAAGAGTACCTTTTGTGCCTGTCATAACTTTGAACAGTCACTAAGTTATTGATTCTAAGTCAAGGACTACCTGCTATACCTGCCAGTAAACATGGTCAATGCCCTGTTGTGGGACAATACAAAATCTTTGTAATCAGCAGACTTTGAGAAATACATTTTAGGAGAATACAGGCCTTTTGAGGAGAACAATATACAGTATTTTGTTGGGACTTCTACCAAAAAAAAAAAAAAAAAAAAAAGAATAGTTTGATAACAAGGCAGCACTTGGAATTTGTCCTTACTGTCTGTGTTTGGAGTCATAGTTTACAAGCTCATTACTGCTTTTATTACTAGACCTTCTTTTATTACTAGACCTTCATTTTATTACTAGTATCTTATTACTGTCTGTGTTTGGAGTCATAGTTTACAAGCTCATTATTACTTTTATTACTAGACCTTCATTTCAACAAAGGGTTGGCTTGCTTCTCAGTAGTCTACATCC